GTGTGGCAAGCACTTCACTAGAAATATGTCTAAAATAGAACTAGAATTTTACAGCGTTCAAGGTTAACACCTATTGTTAGGCTTATAATAACAAGACTTACTGGTATACTACTAGTACTAGTACCTAGCACCTATCTCAGAGCAATAACCAGTTTGTGATTGAATGCATGGGCCAGGGGGTGGATTGGGTGGCTAGCCACTCCCTCTGTTGTGCTAACAATATTTATACACGTATACCAATTAATTATTGCCAATTTAACAATTCCAATGTAGAGTTTTGCTGTCGCCGTCATCCCAACAGTGATCTTGGTTTTGCCCAGAGTGTCGAAAGCTTCCGCAGTACAAGAAAGTAAAACAGTAAAAACATGTAGTAAACACCATATCAATACGTTGTGTAGTTTGTATACGTTGTGGTGTCTCGCTCACTCTATCTATATCTTGTTCTCTCTTACTCTATCTCTATCTTGTTCTCTCTCACTCTATCCATCTCTTGCTTTCTCTCACTTTATCTACCTCTTGTTCTTTCTCACTCTATCTCTTGCTCTCTCTCACTCATATTATAAGAATAAAATACTAGTAAAATATTATAAATGTTTAATTTGTTATGTTATTTAATAATGTTTAAGTCTTGCACAGTTCATAATTTGCCAATGAGTGTAACTTATATCACAAACTTTGACACCACAAATATAGACAATACAATATATACATATCATATTTACACACAATGTACTAGTCAAATGGGACAACAGAAGGAATTCTATTATTAGAATAAAATACTAGTAAAGTATTATAAATGTTTAATTTGTTATGTTATTTAATAATGTTTAAGTCTTGCACAGTTCATAATTTGCCAATGAGTGTAACTTATATCACAAACTTTGACACCACAAATATAGACAATACAATATATACATATCATATTTACACACAATGTACTAGTCAAATGGGACAATGGGCCGAATGGAGGTTTAGAAAATTTCTTTGGTGTAAAGAGTGTCTATTGTAATAGACTGGTTTTGAAATATTTATTTGAAAGACCTTCGCCAATTATCTAGCTCGTGCTCAAACATGGTCCAATTATTAAACAGCCCACCCACGGCCACCACTATCAGCTTTAAAAATTGTTAATTGCGGAATAACCCGCACAGGGAGCAGTTTCATTTTCGTTTCCTAAAGGATGGGGTGGGAGGCGCCAACTGATAAATTCATAACAGAAAACTGTGGTTTATTGCACAAACTTTTAACCGCGGGAGATAATAGTTACTAAGCCGACAGCAGGGTTTGAGCTATAAGAGAAAGTGTTGGCCTGATGTGTGGCTGAAGTTAAGATACCAGCTTTTTACAAAGGAAAAAAACAGTTGTCGGCTGTCGAACTAGAAGCAAACTAGGAAGATTGCACATAATCGAATACATGTATAAAGAGTTATTGGTCTGGTACGAAATAAGCTACACCAATTTTTACAGAGTAACACTACCAATCGACTATCTTCCAGCAGCACATCTGATACTGCACCCAACGATTGATAAAATAGTAACCTGTGCTGGCTGTCATGTGTCTAATCATTGTCCTTCCCTGGTTGGTCC